AGCTTACTGAATTCTTTTTAATTTAAAAGTGTTATTTATTATCATTTTTGTGTGTGTGTATGAATGTATGCGTGTGTATGCCACAGCTAGTGCCTACACAGAGGTTAAGACGTCAATTTTGTGGAAACAGTTCTCTCCTTCTACCTTTACATGTACTTGAACTCAGGTCATCAGGCTTGTGCACCAAGTTCTTTTACTTCCCGGCCCCCAACCATCTCACTGAACCTTGCTGTCTGAATCTTAACAATGTACTAGGCTGTATCTATATCAGCTGACCATTACAAGGCCTCATTTTATTGAGGAGGAAATGGGCTTAAAGACATTAGTAGTCCAGTGTTACACAGAATTGATAAGTAGCAAGGCTGGGAATGCAAATATAAGTCTATGTAACAATAAATTCACATTCTACTACCTTCCAGTAACTAAAGAGTTCAGAGTCAAGAACATTTCAACAGAAAAAAAAATAGTGTATTACTTTGAGCAATACAGTTTTGATTTCCGAGTTTTTCTTACAGTGTACAGCAGTGTTTTTTCTACCGTGTTGTATAAAAATCATACGTTTTTCAGAGAAAATGGTAAGTTCCACAGATGTTTGACTAAGTTTTATTTTAGATCATCCTCTGAAACTTAAAATTGTATTAAAAGCTAATCTATACAATCAAATGAGCCACTTCCATAATTCTGCAGTAGTCTGAAGACACTATGCAGTAACTCTTACCTTCTTTGCTTGTTCTCATGCACATTTTAACAGCCTCTGGCCATTTGACACACATATGAACTTCCTACAGCATGAGCATGATTAGAAAAGCCGTAGTTTAACATTGGTCTTTGAAATTTTAAATTTCATTTTATTTTATGTGTATGAGTGTTTGCATGTATGTAAGTGTACCTACCATGTGTGTGCCTGATGCCCACAGAGGATTGAAGAGAGCATCTAATCCCTTGGAACTGAAGTTAGAGAGGGTTGTGAGCTGTTGTGTGGGTGCTGGGACATAAACTTGTGTCCTCTGCCAAACAGTAGCAAGTGCTCCCACCTGCTGAACCATCCCTCCAGCCCTGACACTGATCTTTGGAAAGAATTCATGTCTGCTTACCAAAAACTGTGCAAGTGGGTAGAGACCCCTAGTATCTATGAGATGGGTATGTAAGTAAATAGTAGTAAGACTAAGAGACATGTTCTACACATACTTTCATTCTGATAGAAGAGTAAGTTAGGGAACAATGAAGAGCAAGTCCTGATGGAAACATTCTTTTAGATAAGTGTTTTGTGGGTTTCTTCTGTTTGAGACTGGGTCTTGTTTTTTAATCTCAACATTATTCATTTATTGTGTGTGTGGGGGAACATGTTTATGTGCTACAGTACACAAGGAGATCAGATGACAACGTGTGGAAGTAGCTTTTCCTTCTACCATGGGGGTCCGAGGGATCAACCTCATGTCATTAGACTTGGCAGCAAACACCTTTACTTATTGAGACATTTCGCCAGCCCCAAGACGTCATGCAGTATGGGCTTTCCTCTAAACTGCTGTTCTGCCGCAGATTACCAAGTACTGGATTACAAGCATTTATCACCACACTCAGGTTTTTTGACTTTATATCATTTATATTAAGATTAAAGACTAAGAAAGAAGCAGGCAGTAAGGACTCTCAGAAGGTGATGACTAGAAGTAGAGATATGACAGGATAATGCAGTTTGAGTTTTCTTTTGTTTCTCTGATCTGATGATTATATGGGTGTGTTAGTATTTAAAAATTCATCAAGCTAGGAGCCAGTGAGATGGCTCAGTGGGTAAAAGCTCCTGCAATACAAGCTTGATAATCTGAGTTCAATCCTAAGAACCTACCATGGAAGGAGGAAAACAGACTCCCAAAAGTTGTCCTCTGATCTGTGCACATGTGCTGTGGCACACATGCTATCACAAACATACACATCATACACACGCAATAAAAAAGTAAAAATTCATAAAGCTATATCCTAAGACAAATGAGCTTTTCTGTGGATTATACTTCAGCAATAGAATAATTACTATAAATAAAATGGATGCAGATTCTTAGAGTTGGTTATTGCTTCCTGTTGCTCTCTGCATTCAAGTACCTCAGTTTACCTAATATTAGTAAATATCCCAACACTGCAAAGAAAGATGATTTTTAAAAAGCTCACATTTGCAACTACCAATGTGGAAAATCAAGAATATTTGTATTATATATCAAACATTGATATGATGTTTTTACATAAGATGTCAAATGGCAATCATGGTTCTATTGCTTTCAAACATTTGAAAGGTATTAGCTATCACAAATATCTTTACAAGCTCGATGAAAATTAGATCAGAATTTAAGGGTGTGATGGAGCCTTTCCACAAGAGGGAGCAAACGTAAAGCACAACTGAGACCACATCCCACTTCTCTTACACATGGCAATTAGAACCCTCTGATGGACACAGTAGCTAGTGAGTACTTACCTACAGTGTCCCACTGTGTGGACAGCATCTGCACCAACAGCATTTACTAGCACATTTTAAAATGACACAAAGCCGGGTATGGCAGTGCACACCTTTAGTTCCAGCACTCAGGAGAGAGGCAGGTGGGTCTCTGTGAGATGGAGGCCAGTAGTCTACATAGTGAGTTCCATATCAGCTGGGGCTACATAGAGTCCCTGCTTCAAAAAACAAAACAAAACAAAACAAAACCCCCCAAAATGCCCCAAAATAAAAATAAATAAAATTATACTTGGCATAGATTATTTAATGTTAAATGTCACCATTAATAAGTTCTGATCACTTAAATTGTCAAGTATAGTAGAAAAAAGATGAGACTGAATGTCTTATTAATGTCCATATGTTAGTTTGTGTATTTTCCCAGAAATGAAGTCAGTCACAAAGTAGTCCATATTTAGAGGAGAGCTGATTTCCAAATACTCTACCTATTTCTGTCATTGCACTGTCAGTCATTTCTGGGAGGGCCTTTGCTTGAGCTGTTGCTTTATCTTCTTCACCAAGGTTGACCTCGTCCACAGAATCTAACGAGTCGAGCAATACAACTAAAAGAACATTAAAGAAAAATGGCAGGAATGGAAGAAAAATCTGTGTCATTTTGGTCCAGTAAAATTGGTCACATGTAATGCCTAAAAATAAATATGCACATGTAAATGGTATTAATATGTAATCTTACATATATATGTATGTGCATACATATATACATAAGCATGACTTTCTTATTATATACAAGATATATTAGGTTAACATCAACATACATATCAATGATTATATGCAGGTCTAATGGGCATCTACATGGAAAGTAAAAAGCCTGAAAAAAAGCAGAAAGGAAATATTCTCAAATATAAAAAAAGGAAATATTCTCAAATATAACAGGATGGAGTCAAGATAGGATACGTTATTGAGAAAAGCTATGAAATTTAATTCCTTAGAGATATTTAAAAATAAAGACATTTTACCCAAAACAATTTAGATGAAATTTTAAATAGACTAGTTACTTGCCAACTAATATTTACCATTAGCCAGCATGCCAGTTTTCTTCTTCCTAAATTAAAAGAAGAAAATTACATGTTTTGAAAGCAAAACTACATCAAATGACCACAAAATGGACAGTTAAGAGGTTTGAAGGCAGGAACCATGAGAAGATGTGGCGCTGTCCTTTACCACAGCCTGCGAGATGACACAGCTCTGCAAGAACTCCTGCAAGTCTCTTTGGAACCTTGGTCATTACCAAAACTGTTTTGGGACTGAACTTTGCTTCAAGTATCTAGAGGCTACCAGCTAGTCTACTTTGCTAAAAAATTTTATTTTGTTGTTGTTGTTTGCTTATTTAAAAACATCAGAGTATCAGGGGGGCGCTTCATCACATGAGCCTGAAATTATAACATTATCAATCAATTTCCCCTTATTGTTTAAAACCAATTACCAAATATACATCCAATTCACTATTCTACAGTTTGCAGGGCATACTTTTAGGTAGGCAGGCTGTCAAAGGGCAGGATATTGAAGCTCTTCAATATTAAGGTTTTAATTAGCATCCCCTTGATTCCCCACCTAGCCAGGGGTACAGGGCCCAAGTAACAGCTTTACTTCCTTTGGATCTGGAGTCTTACTCAGCTCTCAGGAAGGCTTTCATGTTTTTACAGTCTATTTTCTTAATATACACTGACTTGCTCACAGAATATTGTGATTTCCATGTTTCAAACAAATGCCACTATATTTCTAAAGATACACAAAGGCCACATTAACCTGTTATTTCTAAAATCATCTTACTTCTTCCAAAATGAAGGATATATACACACTCAAGAAAAAGTGCTAAATACTTTTAAAAAGTGTTTCTATTTAGAGTACGGTTTTACACATGTTCTAAATACCTCATCCTAACATAGGCACAAAAGAATATGTCCAAATCCAGACCAAAGAAACAAACAGTAATTATCCTAGTAGCTACTATTTTATAACTTCAATGACAGATTATAATGCACAGGAAATATTTAATAACAGGCCTAAACACATCATGTTAAGAACTGGGAAATGACAGAACTAGAGTAGAGCAGGACAGAATGTGTGTTGTCGTAACCACATGGGCTTCAGACACTAACGCTGCCATTAGCAGAAATCCAGGGAAGGGTATTCACAACATCTCACAAGGACAAGTTCTACAAAGAAAGCCCTAATAGATCATTTTAAAAAATAGTGTTAAAATTTAATTGTGTTCCATTTCTAAAGCTTACTGTAAAGAAATTATCTAGCAAAAGTCACCGCTTCTAAGATCATCACCTGTCATGACTGTTTCCTTTAAGATTTACATTGACACACTTAGTTTAGAAAATCCTTAAGTGTTTGAGACTTACAAGCTTACAATGATCAAGACTTTGAAGAACTCTGTATTTCAAGCTCTTCTGACAGGAAGTCAGCAGGCTGATGAAAGCTGTCACAGAACTGTCAAAAGTGCAACTGATAAACCTGATGGGCATATTTACCTTCTCTGATTCAGGATTTTCCTTGGGATGAATCTCTTCATCTTTAATAACCAAAGGTGCATCAATATGGTCTGCATCTTCAAAATGATCACTGTAATTTTCTGAAGGAAATAATTTTTAAAAAGTATAAGGACCAGTGTTGAAAAAGTTAAATTTCAAGAAAGGACTACTGACTTCCAAAGGAAGTCTCCATAAGAATACGTTCCCAAAGATATTGATTTGAAGATTTTTTTTTTTTGCAAAAAATGAATGAGTTCAATTTAAAATGAAGACTATCTTAGGTTTATTTCATTTTTTGTGCTTTCATATAGTCCTAAGAAGATTAAATTTTGAATTTAATCTTTTATGACATGTCTCTTTAAATAGACATTGGTCCTGCAAGACCTTTGTTGTTTTCCAGTTCTGGACACTGCCTGGTGTAAACCCTGTAGATTACATCTGGGTGGTGTGCAGCAGAAGAAAAATGTCTCAAAATTGACTGATGACATCAGTCTATCTATGGGGAGTGGGGCAAGGGTTATTTGGCCAAGATTTTTTTTTATCAATTTAAGTTGTAAATAGTTTTTAAATCAAAAGATCACCTGAGACCAGTGGGCTGAGGAAGAAGAAGGAGGTACAGGGTGTGTGAGTGCAGAGGCCATGTCTGAAGTCAGGGTGACGGTGTAACAGCAAGATGAGGGCAAGGCCTAGAGCTGTCTTTGCACCACTATTCAGCAATAGGATGATAGCCATCACTAAAGCTCCAGGCTTTTTCTCATCTGTAGAGATGAGAACAGTGTTTATGTGAAAGGACTGCTGAGAAGATTTGAGAGTCAGTGTTCAAACAGCACCTGACATTTAATATGCACAATATAAGTGTCAAGTGTTGCATGAAATAGTAATACTGTATGTATTACAGTCTTGCTTCATCTAAACTAAATATTAATGAAGTCAAATATTACTTTTCTTGTTGTTGTTTTGACTTTTTGCTGTGTAGAAATGAAGTGGGGCCTTGTGCATGCTAGACAAGCACTCTATTCTAGTCCCTCCTTCTGACTGGAAAAATAACATATTATTCCAAACTGTAATTTAATGTTTTCATTAGTAACTGAACAAACTATAGGAAAAATTCCCATACAACATAGGAATGATCAAAGTTCTTTTCAGGAATCTGTCATAAATAAAGTCAGTGTGAAGTAAGAAGGAAATGTCACTGGCAGATGTAGACAGAAATGAAAAAACAAAAACAAAAACCAAAAACCAACCAACCAACCAAAAAAAACCCAACAAAAAATGAAGAAATAAAGGGAAGGAAAATAGCATGTCAGAGATTTCAGAAACATCAATGTGAATTGAGCTTACATAAAAATGAAAGAAGCAGCTCTCTGCTTCCCTGAGCCTGCATGACCCATGGGCCTCTTTCCAGGGTAAGTCGATTATGCACCCCCACCAGCTCCCGCAGCCGCATTCACCCTCCCATCTCCCCTGCTGGTCTCTCCTTCTAGCCTGGGACCTGTCCCATTCCTTGTCTTGGCGCCCCAGACACCTGAGGAACCACCACTGCTTCCTGATCTTTTGCATCCAGACCAACCCAGTTCCTTCTGGGGTCCTCAGGAACCCTCTGGGCCTGGCCACAACCTCACCTCCCTCTGCTTCCCTGGGCTGCACAACCCAACAGCCTCTTTCTGGATGCCAGGGCTGACCTTTCTGCTTCCTGATCCTTTGCATCCAGACCTACCCAGTTCCTCAGTGCAGTCCCCAGGAGCCATTGGGGCTTCTTCCCACCCCCATCTCCCTTTACATCTATGGGTGGCATGGCCACCAGCTACCCTAGACCAGCATCTTTCCTGGGCCCTGCTCGCAAGCCAGTGACACCATAAAAAGACCAGACTTACAAATCATAGGCATACAGGAAGGAGAAGAATCCCAAGAAAAAGGCATGGACCAGATCGTTAACAGAATCATGGAAGAAAATTTCCCAAAATTAAAGAAAGACATGCCCAACAAATACAAGAAGCATATACAACACAAAACAGACAGCACCAGAAAAGAAACTCTCATGGGACATCATAGTAAAAACACTAAACATACAAAACAAAGAGACAATATTGAAAGCTGTAAAAGAGAAACAACAAGTCACATATAAAAGAAAACCCATTAGGATTACAGCTGACATTTCAGTGCAAACTATGAAAGCCAGAAGAGCCTGGACCAAAGTATTCCCAGTTTTAAATGACCACAGATACCAACCCAGAATACTATACCCAGGCAAAATGTATATTATAGTTGAGGGGAAAGAAAAATCTTCCATGACATAAATAGGCTAACAAGAATACATGCCCATGAAACCAGTCCTTCAAAAACTATTTGGAAGCAATACAAAGAGAGAAGAAAGGAATATCTATACCCCAGGGGCAATGAAAGAAAATAAATAAAGGTATAATTGAGGAAACAGAAAATT